AGGGGAAGGCAGCCGACAGCGGGCAGAGCCTGAACCACTGCAAGGCCTTGCTCCCTGCCAGGGCTCGATGTGCTTGCCACGTCTCACTTTCAGAGTACGTTAAGGCCCCAAACCCGTGTCCTGGCTGCACACCTCTGGCTTCCCCACCTCCCTGCAGCTCTCAGGGCAGGAGCCAGATGTGTGCCAAAGCCATGGTTCTGCTGAACATTCACCTGATCTAACATTGTATCAAAAGCACTGCAGCACTGTACAATGAAGCTAAGGAACTAGAAGCATTTTGGATTAATTTAAAAAAGAAATCATAATCCTACATGGCAACACAGCTTAGCTAGTATATGCTCTGAATCACAGATGAAGTTTTAATTCTGCACCTGTGTATCCTTTGGAACAGTCTTGTTCTGAGGCTGATCTGAGTATTAGACTATGAACAACAACAACAAATTCTAAAAAAATTAGTGTTAGTTCTAGTAAATTACATTTCATCCAAGTTTCCTTGAACTTGCAAAAGGTGACAGGGTATGTTTAATTTCTTGCAAGTTGTTTTGGTGGGCACTGTACAGCACTTCTGCAAAGTTCTCTTGAGATAAGGTGGGATAAAAAACTGCATAGAAGTACACTGTTCACTTAAAGGCAGAAATCTTTTAGTGTAAGCACATTACAAAGGGCTCACATGTGAGTGCAAAGAGACAGCAATACAGATGGTATTTCTTTCTTCACAGAACAACTAAGAGCTGCATCGGGAATGAGTCTTTTTCAGTGGTTTAGCTCTACCAGCACATGGCAGCATCAGTCCTGAACCTGAACAAAAAACTGAACTGCAAGTTACTTGCCTTTCTTCAGTCTGAAATTGGTGCAAAAAAAAACATAAACGGAGAAAAAGCAGAAAAAGAAGAAGCAGGATGGAAAGGATGAATCACTTTTACCTGCAGCAATAACTTCAGAGCCTAATTGGTAACATGAACATTTCCTTCATCGTACATCAGCGTAACACGTGCGCACATTACTTTCAGAGGTGGAATGTATTGGGACAGCAGGCAGAACAGTTATCCAGAGACAATGAAGACCTCTGCTTCAGCTGGCTTCATCTTCAACAATGAAGCATGAACACAGCCTTTGCACCTGGAGAACCTACAATATGAATTTTCACCAGTTGACAATCTCTTAAGGTCTGCATGGTTCAGGTCAGAAGAAACTTGGAAAAAGGTTTCAGGAAAGTGAAGCCTACATTATCACCTCATGGAACTTTCTATCAGCTTTCTCTGACCTATGAAAAAGATTTCTTGACGTAAACTCTTACAGAGAAGATCAAGAGTCCTTGATCTACTGCTGCCCAATCACTGCAGAGAGGCTGGCTGTTTTTTTGGGCATAAACATTATTTAATCGCTTACACATTTATAGTTGCCTCTTTTGTGAGCATTTTAGGAAAACAGAGTATTTTTTGTCTTTGTAAAACCACTCAAATTGAGCAAGCTGTTAGTGCTCAAATAATCACTGCAACTAAGCTGTTTTTCAAGAACAAGGAAAATAGATGAACAGAGAAAGCAAGTCAATGTGTCCTGTGATCATTCAGATGTGAAAATCTACCCATCACTCATTGACTCTAAGCCCTTTATTGTCTATAGGGAAGATAATCCTGTGTGAAGGTTTGTTGCCATGTTTTGTGAGTCCTTGATTAGTCTTTACCTGTGACACCAAGATCCGATTCCTTCAAGACTGCCATAACCAAATAGCAATTTGGCTTGGATTTGGCCCATGTTCCCCAGTCTAAGGGAGAGTTAAAAGGTAACAAGCTTGGGGAGATGCTACTACTGAAACAGACAGGCTTCACATCCATATACAGGGTCACCCGAGATGTCTGCTGCCTTTCAGACAAGGCTGATCATATGGAAAAGGGTAGATATTGACAGCATGAACCACATGGGAAAAGATGGGATACAAATCCAGAAATCATTATTCAAGCCTCATTCAAGTAACTTATGGTGACTCAGGTGGCTTACTTACTGAGGTCAATAGCTTAGCCAGACCTTCCTTCTACACCAAACACAATTACAACTCAGCAGAACCATTTCATATGCAAACAAGTTTTTAAGTACAATTAACAGAGCTGGAGCTAGACTTGACCAAGCAAGTTTGAAGATCCTTGTTTGGCCAAATCCCAGTGATACGGAAATCTGTCACTTGAATTAAGTCAGTCCACTAGACTAGTCCATGATATTAGGAAGTACGGATTGCTACCTCAAAGGCCTGCAGAGATGTCTACAGTACCAAAAGAGCAGAACAAAGTTCGTCACCTACCAGAAGGATAGGAGTACACAGATGAGCTTTAAGCCTACAATTCTAGTAATCATGATCTACCTTTCACCCAGGGCAAATGCACTGTATGTCAGCTCTGTAACAGAAGAGCTTACAAGAATGGGTAATAGGAAGTTTGTAAAAATAAACACTGAGCGTACACATACCATATGTAGGATAGCTGCAGTATGCTTTACCTCCTACACCTCTCTTACCCCAAAAAAACGCACTTTCAGACCTAGTCATGTAAGGCACTACTAATACAGTGCTAAGCTGAATATTTAAAGATGCTGTATATTCTACACTCCTAATCCTCATATATATAAAAGGACGCTCTCTGTATTTATACAGTAACTTTTAATTCTTTTGAGGTGACTATTTTCTCCTAAGAACGTATGGGGAAAGTAACTTATCATGCTAGATTCAAGTTAGGCTACATGAATTATAGAATCATTCAGGTTGGAAATGACGCTCAAGAGTCCAGCTACTAAGCTAACACTGCCAAGTCCACCACTAAACCATGTCTCTTACGAACATGTTTGGCATTTGAATTCAGATGAAAACAAAGTCTTACCTGCACCTTGCTCTGATCTGAGAGCCACTAGTCATTTTTCCATTTCCCTATGGATAGGCTGCTTACAGCAAAAAGTTGCCCAGATTTAATTCAGTAATTACCCATTTAACAGCAAGATGACAAAGCTTCTAGCAAGCTTGCTCACATTCCTCCTAAGTTCAGCTTATTATTTGTCAAATGATCAGATTATTTAATAGTCTAAATAAAGTTTGAGATGCTACCAACCCCACCAGATTAGTATATAGTAGCACACAGTATGTTGCTGTAAGTGTAGACAACACTGTAAAGGCATTTAGATTGTTAGACAGATACGGTGAGAAGCAATGCTTGATACTGCAGATACTTTGTTAATACAAACGCCAAATACTTTGATCCTACCGCTCTTAAAAGAATGAGAGATAATGCAAGGCTGACTTTACAAAAGTAGTAAGGTGGAAATTCTCCCTTTTAACTAGGTGATGCCAAGAATGCCGTAACTAAGAGTATAGTATCAGTGTGCCAAAATTAAACGCCTTGGACCAACCTAAAGCAGTCGTTTAGTTCAATTGTGATACTGGTCAGAATCAAGTGGAAAATTTACCATGGTGATTTTATACTGTAACTGAAAACTGACACAAAGAGAACTTTCTTTCCATTGTTTGTGGATTTGTGTTTAGCTCCTTCTATCAAGAGGTGCCAGAATACCTTACGTGCCAGCTAGCCCGAGGAAAAAAAAAATTGCACACAGCAACAGCTCTGGGTAAGTTTGAAACACAAGTGAAGGAACAAAGCCAGCAGCGTAGCCTCTTGCATTTCATCTGTGTATCCTTTGATCTTTCAAAGATATGCCACATTAATTTTAACAAACAAGCTACATGCCCATATATATTAACAGATAAAATGTTTGACTGGAAGTCATTGTTTGAAGGGTCCTATGCAATATATCATTAGCAGGAGAAATCCATGGTGACCGAATGACAAGATGCTGTCTTCCAGACATCCTAGTGAGAAAGATAATAAATGCAGGCAACGGGTTGACAGTTAAAGTTGTTATCTTTAATGAAATGACTTTGGAAATAGCATCAATTTCCATGACACCAACATTTTGGGAGTCCCATAAAATGCAGAGTTACATTCCAATGCCAGTATTACAGGCAGATTTCCTTTCACATGGCAAATAGGATCAAGAAAGCAACCATCAGACAGAAGAGACCCATAGCTTCAGACAGGGCGAATCCCAGGATAGCATATGAGAACAGCTGCTGCTTCAGAGAAGGATTTCTAGAAGAAAGCGAAGGTGTAAGACCTTTTTATCTTTGCAATTAAGATGTTTTTCACAGAGTTTAATGCATCTGACAGATTCAGAACCTCAGACTTCCTTGCCACAGATTCCATAACAGGAAAATCCAATAAATCCAAACAGAAGTAATTTTTAGCAGGGATTTCACTGAAGACAAATGAGTTGGCAACTAAGACTAGATTCAGGTTATGCAGATTGTATATGAGCACATTGTGACTACATTCACATATGCTTTTGAATTTGACTTCTCTGCGTCCTCCCATGTAGGACCTATCAGCCCTATGCTTTATAAATTTACTTCTCATCTGTGACATTAGAACTATATTCCAAGGAAGTTTATATGCATAACATTTCAAGTAATCTCAGACAAATCTGGGAACTGAAACTGCCTAGAGCAAAAAAAAAAAAAGAAATACACAGCAGTTTGTTGCAAAAATGCAATTAGTTATCCCTACAAGTGTGTGGGAGAGAAAAAACCTTCAACATAATACTATGAAGTAATGTTCTACAACCCCTCATTGACACGTTCACGCCAAATTCAAAAAAGGAGACATTTTTGTATTGAAAACACTTAATGTTTCTTCAAATGGAAAAGTGAACTTCCTTGTCTTCAGTAGGGCTTAAAAACCTTTATTTAGAAATAGGATTTAATAATTAAGTCTTAACTGCTTGAAAGAGTAATGAAGAACATAAAGCCTTCAGTAAAGTTTTTTTTGATACATGTATCAGTTTTGCTCTTCCATGATACCATGTGAACTAGTCCAACTACAGGACCAATGTAAACTTATCTGGAAGAAGTCCATCCCTACTATAAAATCTCCAGGTCCACCCCCTTCAGATTTCTAGAAGGAATGATTACTCATTCGATAAAGTAATTACATATTCTAGGATACAAAGCTGAATGTGTTAGAAAACTGAATTTCTAAACAATAATCCTGACTACAAAGTCTAAAGCACACAAATGCACGTTACTTATTACTGGTTTTCATACGGTTTCTCTTTAGGACTTCTCTCCTCCCATGGCAAAATATCCAGGCTAGATTTTTCATTCAGTTCTGAACCAAATACTGAACACTGGACCTCAGCCACAGAAACACTGACCAAGCCTATTGGTCTCATTTCTTTCATGTCTATTCTCCAGGCAGAGCGTACAGAGTTCTGAATTTAACAATAGAGCCATCCTGATGAATATACTGCAGTTTCATATGATTCTATTTAGCCATGATTATCATTAATAGTAATTATAAACAGGATATATTACAGTGCCATCATCCTTACTACAACTTAGCTTATCTGGGGGTGCTGTCTCAAGATACAGAGCTTTCCAATTGCATGCAGATGTAAGACAGAGATCGATTACCTGGCATAACCAATGATTAGACTACCGAAGACTGTTCCAATACCAGCACCAGAACCAGCCACACCTACTGTGGCAGCACCAGCACCAATAAATTTGGCAGCAGTGTCAATGTCCCTGCTGATAGCACTAGTCTGGAATTCTCTAAGTGCTAGTCGGGAGACAGTATTTTGGGCCCCATTAAGCGTTGAGTTGCCCTAAGAAAACAAAACATAAACAAGCATTATATTCAGACACAAACCATTTTCTATAACCACTTTGATAGTGTTACTCTGCAGCTCTACAAGATTTTTTAGATCCAAAGTTTAGTTCCTCTTCCAAGTGACAAGACTATAACTAAGAGTTAAAACCTTCAGAATGTTACCTGTTCCACCTGAAAGCAATCAACTTTAAATGTGAAAGACTTCTCAGGGGAAAGGACAACACAGCAACAAGTATTATTTGGTGTTTGACTTAAAGCAAGTTTCACACTATAGGTACTTGAGTTAGTACAAATGAACTCTAGATTGAGGACATTTAGGCTCACCAGGTAATTTAGGAAGATACAGAATTTTGTTTATAAGGTACCTCTCCATTCTTGACCTCTGGCCTAGACAACACAGATGCCGAAATTGGTCTGTACAAGACTCTTGATCCAGCACGGATCTGCAAAAGGAGGAAAAAAGCTATAAAACCCCAAACATTTGATTGCAGCAGTTCCCATACAATAGTCTGTAAGACTGTAAGACTATTATCTACTAAGCCATTTGTCTTACTTGAAAGACAGCAATCTTTGCATAGCTGCATATACAACAAATGACACAGAAGCAAACACTGCCGTGAAATTTGATAGCACCGTTTTCAGGAGATGTTATTGTGAATAGCTCCATCATTCAGTGAACTTGTACGTGCATTATACTGACAGAAAATGTAGCGAAACAGCAACAAAGAAGCCAGATAGGCCAGCAGGCAGCGACAGACATTTCAAAATGAAAAAATTAAAGCAATCAAAATGAATTCTGGAGTCGTTAAATGCACAGACATAACCCAGATTTTCAAATCTAGAGGCATAAATGAATGAATCCTCTTTCACAAGCGGCCTGCATGTGTCCTTGGGCTTCCAGCAGTCTAAGGTCATACCGGCTCTTACACAAAGCTCTTCCTGCAGTAGAAACCGGTGCATACGCCATGCAAAACGAGACGTTCTGCAGGCTAGAGAGAACATTTTCAAGCAGAAAAGTCCCTTGCCTCTGCAAGGGCAAAAAATCCCGGTCTCGCCTAGGCCAAGCAACAGGCTGGAGTTTGACCTACAGGAAGGTGCAGAGAGCACCAGGCCCAAGAGCTTTTCGCTGCGCTGCCCTCCCCCTTCACCGCTGCTGTGCGAAGGCCCCTCACCTTGGCAGAGGGCCCTAGCCCACACCAAGGAGGCGGGAAGGAGAA